CCCCCCCCCCAAACCCCCCAACCCCCCCCCCCCCCACACACAAAAAAAAAAAAATACAAAAACCAAACCACGCGTAATAAATAATAAAAAATAAAAAGATAGAAAAGACATCAAAATGGAGAAAGGCTTGTTCTTGGCATGAACATGAAATCTGATACTTTTATGCCACAATGTATGGTAGGTTCAACTCTCCATTCCTGTAATGTATGCACCATCATAACTTGTTTTGGACTTCTTAATACCATGATAAATCCACAGACCACAGTTATAATTACTATGAATTCCTTTTATTTTCCATTTTTCATAGCACATAAGCGGCATATAAATATGCAAAAAGCCAATCACAACCACCAATCACTCAAGCAAGGCAAATAACCTATCATCATAGGTGAAAAAGGCTATCATAAACCCTTCAACAATTCTTGTACCATCGACCCTTCAACAATTCTTGTACCATCCACCATTTTTCAAGCCCACCATTCATTCCTCCCATGCATGACATGCAGCAAAATATCAACTTCATCACCAAGCAAGGACAGACTATCTGTCCCAATCCCCAAAGTGAGGTTCTATCAAAACCTTTTTTTCGAAGATAAATGTAAGTCTACAGATTGAGTCGTTGCACCCGTAATAACCAACTAGATATTGGCATTGCATGACATCCATGGTGGGGGCGTTTAACCAAAGGATGGGACATGAAAATATACATCCAACTAAATGCACTGAAATATGCATAAATCACGTAATCAACAAGAGTGAATCAACTCAGACATAAAATGTTCAAAATTTCTAAAGCAATATATTTTGAATTCAGTTGCTTTATACGTATACGTCACTTCGTTTGTTTAGTTAGCCAGCTGAATTCAGTAAATTATGTCCTTTCAATCAAAATGCAGGCAGCTAGAAAGAAATTTCAAAATATATTTCTAAAGCCAATTTCTGCAATGGCCTTAAACCAGCTTCTAACCTGGGGTATATTTCAAGTGGGGCTGGCAAACCCCACCTCAATTCTGAAACGTGCAGTTGCCAACATTAGGTCTTTAGGCTTGGTGGCCTATTCTGTATTACAATGTTGGCAGCCTAGAGTTCTATGATCTATTGTGCCCCTAACTCAAGCTATTCTATTTCCACTTGATACTCAAGCTCAAGCAAAGTAAGATTTACTTTAAAGTAAAGACTTTATGGGACTTCCAAAAGAAATATTATGCGGCTCCACTCTTAGTTCTATTATTAATTTATTTTTTTGGGATAAAAACAAAGCTTTTATTAAATAAAATGAAGAAGACAAGTGTATAATAGTGGACAAGGGATCCACCCCTTGAAAAGGTAAAAATACAACATAAAAATTAAATCATCCAAGAACTAAGAGGATGATCATCATCATCTAATGACAAGCCTCTATCCAATCAAGATGAATTGTAAACGAAGGCATATCCTTAAACTCCTTAGTGGCCAACACCCAAAGGGAAGCCAAAAACTTCACTCTGCGCCAAAGAATATCCCCGTATTCTTCTTTATCTTCAAATATTTTCTCATTTCCTTCCTTGCACACCACCCAAAAACTGTCATTACAACAGTTCCCCAAAATTGGAATTCTTTCCCCCTTTTCAAAATACGTGTGAAATAGGACCACAAATCTACTAGGAATAACCCAGCTTATATAAACTCACTTAAAGCTTTATGCCCTAACTTCCAAGGCTATTGAGATGGTCTACACTTCCACAACATCTTTTACACATAACGCACCAATGTTGGAGAGACAAAAGTTTGGTCTTCTTCTTTCCAACAAATCACAAGTATTTAACTTTCCATGAGCTACAGTCCATACAAAAATTTGCCCCATCATAGGGCACCTTAGCCTTCTAAATCATCTTAAAAGCTGGAGAAAAAATGATCATCAATTAGGACATCAAAATAAGATTTACATGGAAAGACACTAGAAGAATCATGGATCCAATCCTTTTATCACCCTCCCGATACTAAAGAAATCGAATTGATCAAAAACAACAAGAAAGTGAGTTCCAAGATTTCTCTATCATTTAAGGATCTAAAAAATTAAAGTTCCTCCTCGTTGAGCAGACGAAGAAGAAGCACAATGCATACGTGCGCTGGAAGAATCATAAGCCCTAGATAATTTATAAAGGTTGGAAAAAAAGTGAGACAAAGGAGTCCCCAATCCAAATGTCCTCCCAAAAGCGGATTCTCTCACCATTCCCCACCCCCAACCTCATGTTCCATAAAACCATTTAGACCATTTGGACTGAATTTCCAAGGACACCGAAAAGATCCCCTACCCACCATATTTGAGTCTCAACCGTTGGAAAGTTGTGCATATTTACTTTTGATAACATCATGCCACAAAGACCCCAATTTAAGTGGAAAGCTCCATAACCACTTTCCTAACTAAGCAATATTTCTTTTAACCACATTACCCAATCCCAAACCCCCGACCTAGGCTTAGAAACCACCTCCCAATTAACAAAAGGGCCTTTTTTCCCTTCCCCACTTCATTACTACAAAAAAATCTCTCACCATTTTTGCAATCAAGAATGTTACCTTCCTAGAGATCCTATAAAGTGGCAAATAATAAATAGGGATGCTAGCCAATACTAATTGCATTGAAGTCTCCCTCACCTAAATAAACAAACCCATTTCCACCCCTCCAATCTCTTTTGGACCCTTTCAACAACGGTTCCCCTCCAATGGTAACCCTAAGTATTTTAAAGGCCACTCCCCCACCGCACAATCTACTCTACTTGATATTTTATCTATCTCCTTCCTTAGTTCTATTTGATATGCTTAAGCTAGAAAGTTGCATTGTAGTCAGCATTTCATGCTTTTAGATCGACGTGATACAGTGTGCATCTAGCTCACTACTATATTATCAATGACGGTGTCGGCGAATTGACAAATATCTGTAAATGCAAATGTCATACACTCATGTAAGAACATATTTTGAACCATTTTTCCAATGTTTCGATGCCACAATTCACTACATTACAGACAGGAGTCTACAACTAAAAAATCTATTATATATAATTACAAACCCTTGGTGCTTATTAACTGTGAGAAAAGGGGATCAAGGCAAACCTCAGGAGCCATCCAGAATGCAGTTCCCTTGCAAGATTGCACGTCATTCAACCTTGTGGCCTGCACAAGGAATCATACAGCAACATCAGGGTTGAAAAATTAGAACAATATAATAAATTGTCTCATGTACCACAAATCGAACAAGCTATCACAATCCAAGGAAAGGGGGCACAACCTTTGCCAAACCAAAATCTGCAAGTTTTACAGATCCACTAGCATCCACCAATATATTTGCACATTTTATATCCCTGGCAGAAACAGAAGGAAAAGGTAAGACTTCAGAGACCTCTTTTCATATTTTAATTCATTAGCACAAAAGGAAACTACCAACCACTGCTCAATTTTCAACCATAATTTACTCAAGCATGCCTAGAATTGGACCCAAGGGTAAATTACCTGTGAACAACATTTCGGTCATGCAAATACTTCAAACCATGCAAAATCTGCCTTGTATATGCATAGACTTGGGAATCTCGAAGGTTGTACTTCTGATAAAGCCTCAATAGAGAACCCTTGGTTACCAGTTCAAGAAAGATATATAGCTTTGATTCATCCTACAACGATAAAGTGGGAAAAAAAACTTAGACACTCATAATCCAATTGTTCAAAGAGAAAGAAAAAAGAAAACCATCTCCCTAGAAAACTTTAGCATTCAGAGTACTGCAAATGCAACTAGTACATAAGGAGGAGCAACCCTGACAATCCAAAGCAGCAAGCAATTGATCTAAGAAGCACGGGCACCGGCATGTGCACGTATACGACACAACACAGACACACAGAGAGCATTTCTAAAAAAATGTAAAACACAAACACGTTGGAGAACCCTACAAATAACCGTGTTTATATATTGAATCATATAACTTTTCACAAATACAGAGATAAGGATACACTATCCATAAAACAATAAGAACTTCATGATAAGTAACTCTTATATCTAGTCATCTAGTGTGGATTTTTAGACTAAAACNTGTTTATATATTGAATCATATAACTTTTCACAAATACAGAGATAAGGATACACTATTCATAAAACAATCAGAACTTCATGATAAGTAACTCTTATATCTAGTCATCTAGTGTGGATTTTTAGACTAAAACACCATACTCATAGTAGTCATTTTTATCATCGATCTTCTTATAGATACCATGTAGCTAACATATATAACTTAAATGATATGATTGCTCTCTCAATTCCTCTTAGCAAAATTTCTATACATCTTTTGCTTTTATTATTATTATATTTTAAGTAAAACTTTAGCATGACTAATCTTAATAATTATTGCATAATAATAATTATTCGGGGTACATGAACAAATCCAAATCCCAAACCTAAATGGTTGCTTTTCACGATTGATATTTCTTTTTAAATTAAACTGTAATTTTTCCAAACCAAATTCAATCTTAAATTAAACTTTAATTGTTCTTCCTTTACCTACTTCGTAAATTTTCTTGGATCTCTGTGGTACGATCTCGGACTTCACCGAGAATAATTACAACTTGACCACCAGCACTTGGGTGTAATCTTTGAGGATCAAGCAATTATCCTCTAACCACTTGAATTGGTTTCACATTGCCCAAAAACCAAACAACCGACATATTTAGGATGAAAAAAATGTCCAAATGTATACAAAAATGCATGCTTCTATTGTCCATAATTGGGGCATCACGAAATCAATGACCACAATTAGAGGTGCAAAGTGATAAATGTAATAGTTTAGAGAACAATTTAAAGTGATACACATTATAGCTAAGAAGCAACATGAATTAGGGACATAGTTGAAGGGATCAGATTGTAGTTTATCCTAATTGATTATAGGCTCCCAATAACATCATCTTGTTTTGCACAGATTATTTCCATACAAATGTTAGTTACTTGTGTAAATTGTCACGAGTTTAAATATTTGAAGGTACAATTTGTTCAAATCAATGGTTGAGTGGACAAAATGAAATCAATATGATAGTGTAAGGGGACAAAGTATAACTAACCCTTCCCCATTATTTAAAACAAAGATGCACAAATTCACTTCTTTCAAACAACCATTTTTCAGGTTCAAACACACATAAACCCTATAAAGAAGGATAACCAATTAACATTATTGTCTAGTATAAGATATATATTAGCCAAATTTTCATGCTTTGTTAATCGNTCTTTCAAACAACCATTTTTCAGGTTCAAACACACATAAACCCTATAAAGAAGGATGACCAATTAACATTATTGTCTAGTATAAGATATATATTAGCCAAACTTTCATGCTTTGTTAATTGTATGTCAACACATGTTTATTATTTAATAGTAGGCATGGTCTAAACAAGTGTCAGACATATCACCAAAGAAGTGTCAGACACGTGTCCAAAATTAAAATTTTATTTTTTAGTTATAGATAAAGATAAAAAAGTGTCAAAAACACATCCGAAAGTGTCAGCCGAATGTCAGTGTTTAACACGTGTCCGACATGAATACATCACTTCTTGAGAGTGATCGTGCTTCAGAATAGTTGACCCGTCAGGTCGCCTGCCGACTCCATCTATGTTTGGTCTATGCTAAACCAGTGCCATGTAGAAAATGACATAACGTATATCGTAAAAGTTAAACACAGCCACAGGGTATTGAGCATGATAATCCCAAGGATAGCCACATAAATATTAGTTTGTTGGTATTTGAAATTTAACACATTGAACTTAATTCAAGACAACGGTATGAGCATATTCTTTTGCATGGGTGTGTTTGCAAGCAAAATTACAAGCAAGCAAGATGTATTCCATATTTTGGAACTTCACCAATAAAGCATGCTTCAACTTTTACATCAATCTCCATATGAAGTCAAAAAACAATATGCTACTTCACTCATAAAATGCCCCTTTCTCTAACAAATATGACAAAAGGGGATACATTAGTAACATTACTCAAACACAATACCAAATACAATCTAAAAAGAGAAAGAAAGACAACTCAAATAATCATGATAATAAATAAGAAACTCTCCTTTCTTTTTTGTGAGATTTGTCTCCCCATCAATTTTGGGTGCAATTACATGAAAATCTGATTACTAGAAATATTGTTCACTGGCTTCATAATCTACCCAAAATCAGCAAGTGGACTTCATTTCCAAGCTGTGTTGCATATCATAGATCCTATCTCAAAAATGTTGAGTAAGGTCACCAGCATATGGTGATGTAAAGCCTCTAACAACGTTTATTGTCATATCTGACATTGGTCATTTCCTATGACTTCATTTTTTTGGAAAAGATACAGTATCTACATCCCAATTGAAATCCATTTTACTCAAGTTTCTCACGTCTTGCCCTTGGTTTTTGCCGCACTATTGATCGCTGAATGGAAAGGCATTGAGTACATCTATCGCACCCAGGGTTCTGAAAATCAGCCGTTATGAAGCATAACAGCCATTATGTAACAATAACGGCATACTCCGATCCTATTATAGTCTGATATAACAAATAGAATAAATTTCACATGATCCATAACGCGCGTTACAGATCCGTAACGCGCCCATAACAGACGTAACGGATGATACGGGTAAACTCGGCCGTTTTGACACGACCCGAAATTTGATTCAAGAATAAAACCCAAATTTCAGTCCCAAAAATCAATTTCATCGGAAACTCAATTCAACAAACTTCTCTCAACTTCCTTCCCTCAAATACATGGTTTAGATCTAGAAAATCTTTCAAATAAAAGCTTGAAAATGCACCTATACATCCAGATCTGGCTTCTTGAGGTGGTTTTTGGAACTTTGATCAAGTTCAAGTGTTCACCTGTCGAAAGACTCGAAACTCGAACTGTGATCGCCTAACCGATGATCAGATCTCTGTGCTCTCCAGTGCTGGGCGTGCTCATTGCTTGCTTTAGGACAATCGAAGACGAGTCGATCTCCTTCTCCAAGACGAGTTCCAAAGTTCCTCTCCTCTTCATCACTCCATTTGAGTCGATCTCCTTCTCCAGTCCATTTGGGTATACTCTAGTCCACCGCTTTTTTTTTTTGTCTGAGATATTTTAATGGTGTGTTTGAGATTTGTTTTTGGTCAAATAAAAATAAAGTTATGTGTTTAATTAAGTAATTTTAATGGAGTTTACTAATTATTTTAATGGAGTTTACATGGGTATCACAATTAAGGATATATGGTTACTGTGTGTTTGGGATATATTTTTGGTCAAATAAGCATGTGTTTAATTAAGTAATTTTAATAAAATTTATTAATTATTTTAATGGAGTTTACATGTGTATCACAATTAGGGTTGTCAATCGTATCGTGTTCATATTCGTGTCAAGACCCATAAGAAAAAAGTTATTTATTATGTTCTGCGTATTAAATATTAATCTAAACTATTTATTATGCGTATTTAATAATCGTGTCAATTTTATAATCGTTTGTGTTAGATTCATATCAATGGATCAAAGTTGACACCCCTAATCACAATTAACTAATTTTAGTTCAAGCACTAATCATTTTAATTAACTAATTGTTGCTAATGGAAAGTTCACTAATATAGCTGCATAGTGACTTAAGAAATATCATTAATCTATTTAATAAAGTAGTTTACAATTCAAATTTTAAATGATAAATAAAATGACTTTTGTTATTCACAGTTGAGATCGCTTTAAATTTTACTTTAAAGTTAATCTAACGACTAATATTAATACCCAAAATTTAATGGGAAAAATAGGACCCTAAGGGTGTGTTTGGAGAANATTGTCGTCCACCACCTCTCATCCCCACTATAAACCGATGCTTAAATTTCTTTATCTCTTCTTTATATTTGTAATTTAATTTTGAATATAAATACAAATATGTTTATTATTTACAATTTTTTATTACTCTGTACCTTCAGACACAGGCAATAACTAGTACTTATGATATTTTATTATCATGTTTATGATACAATAAAATTCCCTAAATCACTAAACACCAATATTTGCATGATTTTAAGTTGAAACATATAAATATTCATGTTTTATGAGAAGTTGTGAGTTGAAAAAAAAAAATCACGCATCCAGTTTCCATTACCGTTATTTAATGCTTATTTTATCCCGCATTCGTTACACTGTTACCGTTATCATTACAGTGGTCGTTACCGTTATTTAGAACCATGATCGCACCGTCATGATACGGTATCAACTGATACACACAAAATACTAATTGGAATGTTAATAAAATACTAGGAAAAATCATGAAAACTTCTAAAAATGTAAACAAAAAAATTTATATATCAGACATCCAAAATACATCATCTAGCACATTATATGTAGCGAAATGGAACGTAAGGGTGCTAACGCAAAAAGTTTTCATGAAGAGTAATGCTAGTTGAAGATATATTTGGATTTAATTTGGAAATCTAATCCATTGATACTGCAAAATTAATCATGAGTCGTAAGTTGTATGGAATCCACCGCTAATCCAATGACAACAACAAATTATGTCTCCATGATATGGAAACATTTGGTATATGAAGTCATCCAAAATTAAATTCAAATAGTATGACTGGAAAATGTACCAATATAATGCAGTAAATCAACTAATGTGCTTAAAATAATAAAAAATACAATAATTACTTAGCAACATAAACTACTTTAATAGAATATTATAACTGATAAGATCAAACACTAACTCTATAACTCTCGACTCTCTACAAAAGAGCCTCTCAACAGCGCAAAGCCGCAAAAGCATGTAACACACAGAGAAAGAGAGAGAGAGAGAAGCCACGCACCACGCCAANTCAACAGCGCAAAGCCGCAAAAGCATGTAACACACAGAGAAAGAGAGAGAGAGAGAGAGAGAAGCCACGCACCACGCCGAGTCGAGGAGTCACATCACACAAGATAAAAATGAATAATTGAAGAACACGAAGAAAAGGATGGAGAGGGAAACTCGTTCGCACTTCATATTGGCTAAATTATGTAGGTTTCCTTTCAATTTCTTCTTTTTCATTTTATTCTTCTTCTTTGTTGATTTTGACCAATCCTTGAGGTTCCATCACGAACCGTCCGACTCAATTATGAGTTATATTTGAGTTGCATTAGTTCTACCGAGTTGTATCCAAGTCAAAACCGCTTACAGTGTGACTCATGAATTTGAGGCAATGTGCACCCTTATCAATTCCCATATGACCAAGTCGTCTTGTATCAGTCTCAACCGATACTTTCAACCTATCCAATTTTACTTTCTAGCGTCTGCTATTGCAAAGTATGTTATTAAAGGTTAGTAACATTGCTAACCATTTACTTTACTAATATCCTAAACAACCAAAATTAAGGAAAAACCAATATTTACCGTAAGCGTGGAGAATTTTCTGAGGTAAAGCATAGTGCATCAAAACCAATGAATCCAATAGGGAATTTTGGTTGGAAATATACTTTTAGTTGTACCCGAATGTGATATGGAAAGAGAAGAGAAGGAAGAGGGAATGGAGGAGCAATTGCTATGCTTTTTTTTTTTACAATGAACCCATCTGTGCCTGAAAGTTTGAAACATATTTTCAAGGCTTGAACACTACACCTGTTGTCTAGCAATGTAGGTTCCTTTGAAAGGAACCAGATGCCATTTTATTTGTTCAACTATGACAAGCTTGCAAAGAAAATCATTTCCAAAGCTTCTCACTTCTTAGAAACAAGTTAGAGCAAACCCTATTCACATCTAAAGCCAAGACAAAAAGAATGAGAAAAAAAAAAAAGATATTCATAAGTTGTTTCATTCTTTTTTTTCTTTTTTGCAAGTTAGCTAACTGGTATATTCATAAGTTCTTGATTTTCACCGCCGGAACCAATTTATTTTAAATTTCTTAGGTACAACAGCTTCACAATGTATTTAGGTACAGATTTGTGCTTCAAATGAAGCAAGGATGTTTTCGGTTGAAATCGAAAAACACTTGTTTTCAAGACATGGTTGTTTTTCAGTTGAAACCAAAAGGCACTTGTTTTTCAATTGCAACATATAGTATCCAATACGACTGAAGAAAAAAATTTTGAGTGTTTGCTCCTTCGTAGAAATTCACAATCCTAAGGATTCAATAATGCACGAAAAAAAAATGAAAATTAAATACTTGAACCAATAGTGACTCGAATCAATAAACAACACTCATAACTCCGAAGATAGACTACCAATAGAGAATCCTCCATAAAGGGCAAACCGATAAAGCATTTTTGTTGTCATATCTGTTAGATCATATTTGTAATTGGTTAATTTTGTAAAGTCCATTGTGAAATCTCAACCTATTTCATAATCACGATGCTATCAAGTTCAAGATCCGAAATCGTCATTGAAGGAAGGAGATCAAGCGTCAAAATTATATCATTCAACCTCCGTATGCACCTTCATGCTTAGGACAAAGGTAATGAATGACCTAGACACCTAAGATGAACCCTTGATTAATTTAGCTTAGGATGATTAGGATGAAAATGAAATTGGAAGCAATTTGATTATGACACTGAAGTGATTTTAAAAGAAAAGTTTTTATAGAACATTTATATGTTTTGAAAACATAGTTTGAATCACAATCGGACCCCTCTTTGCACAATATTCTTTAGTAATCAAGAGGATAAGTTTTTATATAGTTTTATGCTAAAAAACCTGGAGTGACCGATTTATGCTCACTATCTTTCGCTAGAGCGATCTCTTTATAACTTAGGGAAGGAAATAAGAAAATACCACAAAAGACAGCACAAGGCTCGATCTATAAACTCGCTCAAATGGTCTCATAATAGCTCAAGAAGATGCCCATAGTCGCTCAAGCGGTGCCTGCCTTAGTCGTGTTTAAAATATTGTTTTCACCCCAACGACAACCGCCCTCCCACCAATCGAGTAAGCATTCACAAATCTGAGTTTTCTTATTTATTAAAACTACCCTTATTTCGGACCTATAAATAAAGAGAGCATTTTCCACATCTAGTTTAAGCCTCTTGAGCCTTCAGAGAAACNCGAGTAAGCATTCACAAATCTGAGTTTTCTTATTTATTAAAACTACCCTTATTTCGAACCTATAAATAAAGAGAGTATTTCCCACATCTAGTTTAAGCCTCTTGAGCCTTTAGAGAATCTTCAAAGAGAAAAATTTATTCTTCTACTTGAAGAACTTCCACCACAACCTAGATTTCTTAGATCTAAAGGCTACCACTAGCAATTCTACCTAACTTCACAACTTAAAAAAGAACTTGTTGGTTGACAAACTCATTGACACGTGTATACTGAGGATTGTGGGCGTGTTCATAATCGCTTGAGGCCTAGACGAACTGTGCGGCGGGAATGTCCAAATGAAGCTATGAGAGGGACTTTTGGCGGAGAGACATAGTAAGAAAAAGAACATCTAACCAAAGCATTGATTGAACTATAAGTCTCAAGTTCTTACATGTTAACTTGGAGAGTAGTGGATTAGAATTTGATAAATCGAGAAGGTTCTCCGCGGTTTTTCTCGAAGAGGATTTTCTGTGTTAACAAATTGCCAGTGTTCTTTATTATTTATCGTATACACTTGCATTTATTAACACACACGCGCACTATGTCTTTGTTGTATTGATTGATTGACATTCATTCAACCATAGTTGTGCAATTGGGTTTAGGATTTAGGATCGCTGTGAGATTAATTTTGAGCAAATTAATTCAAAACTAATTAAAATCAATCATCATAGTTAAAGGTGACTGTGGTGACTAAAGGGGTTCTCATCGTTAAATTTCACACTCAATTGAGAAGAGGTAATTGTGGTAAATATAGGTTTTAATTGGTAATCAATTTGGGTTAAAATTGAAAAACCTATTCACTGTCCCCCCCTTCCCTTCTAAATATAGTGTCTTGACCCCCACGTGTATAATCATGATGGAAAATCCATATTGAGTTCCCCCTCACGAAACAAAAACATCAAATGGTGTCACATTTTGTCCCCAATTCCTAAGATCACTACAAAGAAGGAGAAACAATACGAGTTATTCTCCACCTCTTATACTTCACGGGGCAACTCTTGGTCCCATGACTCTAGTTAATGCTTCGGGAACCAGTGAACTCATACTCAAACAAGATAAATGACTAGCAAAACAATGGTATAACAACTTAAGTGGGAGCGCAATATATTTCTGGTTCACACACTGGGAGATCTTATTATCTTCAAGACATCCACGAAATTTACATTATGTGGTCACTGCAGTCAAGGGGGACTAACTGAATTTTATCAATTAAAAGTGCAAGGACTGAACAAAGGGTCACCAAGCGGAAGAACGTCTGTAGACTTGCCTATAAATTCTTAACTTCTAATTTTTGTAACTTAATTCGTTTTCATACGGACACTACTTTTGATCAAATCAGCCATATATAATTCAACAAATAGAAGAACTTTGTAGTAAGAGCATTTTATGTGACAGAAACACACATTAGACAGATAGAAACTGAGAAATTAGTTCTCTCTTTATACCCTATTAATTTTGATCCATAAAACTAACTTCTTACAAGGGAAACTGTGAGAGCATCAACCAAGAGACAATAGCCCAAAATGAAAAGGGGGAGAAAAGTACCTTATCTGTGCCATAATACTGAACTATGTTCTCATGTTCAAACTGACTTAGAAGAGCAATCTCCTGAACAAGTAAATAGATGGTCAGAAAGAGGAATCCCAGAAAGAAATCAATTATTACAAAAAACCCCAGAAGAAAACCTTGGGTACTCATTTTAAAAACATGATACTAGTATAAATTAAAGCCCATCTCACCTGTTCAAGTTGGTAAAGGCTTTGCCTTCCCTGGTCCCCTTGATCAAGCAAAGAAACTTCCTTGACAGCAAAAAAGAATCCACCGCTGTACCAAAAGAGAAATACATAATATTTACATGCATATACAACATATAATCAAAACATCTCATTTTTGCAAAACATATAGACAAAGTTTGATTTGTAGTTATCTGCCATAATGTACAAACCAGGTGCAATTAAACTATGAAGGATGTGAAAAAGTTTCTTCTGTGTTACTTTTAGGAGATTATTCGTTAGAGAAGTAGAAGACCATCCAGAGGAAAATGGCAATCTCCTTTAGGGGTAACATCAAGTAGATGGAACCAATTTCCTTTAAGAGTAACATCAAGTAGATGGTATTTACTGGGAAAAAAGCACCAAGTAGATGGGTTAATCTACCCTTGGGTGCAAAGTTGTGTTTTACAGTTTTTGTTTGCCAAGTAAAATAATGGACTTGTAAGCTATTTTTCCTCTTTTTAGATACATTCCGACCAGGATTGCTAAGAGAGTTAACATAGATTTGTTCAATTTAGGCTGGACTGCAATGATCTGCTAGCATGTTGTGGAAGTAGGGCCCACTCGACTTATTTACTTACTTTCTAATAGGATTAGTTGTGCATTACTGCATTGTCTCTAGCTGCTCTACATTATCGTTTTATCTCTAGTGAGCTCGGATGTGTCTAATGAAATTTTCTAAACCCCGGCCCCAAACAACAACACCACAGAAGTGTTAAATACACCATCCCTATTTACNCTGCATTGTCTCTAGCTGCTCTACATTATCGTTTTATCTCTAGTGAGCTCGGATGTCTAATGAAATTTTCTAAACCCCGGCCCCAAACAACAACACCACAGAAGTGTTAAATACACCATCCCTATTTACTTTGGGCAATCACACTTTGCCTCCAACAATTGATACCAAACCTCCCCTCATCCACCACCCATCACCCCACAACAAATATAGACACATACACACGTTTATGTGTAGATCAATATCTAATTATAGGAACCTATAATTGCATCTACCAACTCTCACCATAACAGTTCAAAAATCCAAGCATTGAATTCCCCTAGAACCACTAGAAAGTAGGTTTTGCAACATGAGAGAGAAATTGAGGGAGAAGATGGANTCACCCCACAACAAATATAGACACATACACACGTTTATGTGTAGATCAATATCTAAATATAGGAACCTATAATTGCATCTACCAACTCTCACCATAACAGTTCAAAAATCCAAGCATTGAATTCCCCTAGAGCCACTAGAAAGTAGGTTTTGCAACATGAGAGAGAAATTGAGGGAGAAGATGGAGGGAGAGAAATAGAAGATGAGTTGGACAATGGCTGTTTTTTGTTAAGATGAGATAGAGTCATGGCTTGTTCTTATGTGTGTGTATAAGAGAGAGAGAGATGCTATTGCTGCATTTGGTGCTAGGAAGCACAGAACGGATACGCGGTAAGGGTACGATATGATACGGATACGTAATACTGGTACGATATGATACGGATACGTAGTCCAGGTACGATATGATACGAATACGACGATATAACAAGACAAAAAAATAGGNATGCTATTGCTGCATTTGGTGCTAGGAAGCACAGAACGGATACGCGGTAAGGGTACAATATGATACGGATACGTAATACTGGTACGATATGATACGGATACGTAGTACAGGTACGATATGATACGAATACGACGATATAACAAGACAAAAAAATAGGATACGGGTACGCCCAGGATACGTCTATAATAAAATATATTTAATATTTTACTATTAGTTAACCACTTAAAATTTTCAATTTTCAATAATTCCTTAATAGTAGTGAGCAAATCTAGAAACTTTTATCTTGAAAAATATATAATATCATCTCATTATGTTATATCCATAAAATGAGAGTGACCAATTAAAGGAATCAGAACCATATTTAACTAGTTGGTTTATTTACAAGTATTTATTTTTATTATTATAGTGTAACTAATTCATTTTTTAATACTCTTTTAACTTGTAATAGTATATCATACTTCAAAAACACTCATATCTTTAAAATAAAATGAAATTTTATCAATATTTTGTATTGTATGTGAACTCAAAAGGCAATGTTATAGACTAATTATCTTGCCCTATATTTAGAGGTATTAGCAAAGTATTTACATGTTTGATTAATTATCGGATACGTATGATGCATATCCGATACGTATCTTCTAGTATCTAATGAGTATCGTATCCGATATGCGTACGTCAACCTTGACAAAGTATCCATACTTCATAGATTTGGTGCAACTGAAATAGCCCACATCTTGTGTTTTGCCTTCCTCAGCAAACATTCGGATGAACACCCCAAAGTACTCTCCATATTCTTCTTCACATATTCTGGGTCTCTAAACCAGAACAGATAAGATTATAGAAAAGCTACAGATTCACCATAGTTCCACAGATTAACATACCGCAAGCAGACCAAAGGCTTCATTTTGACAAAAAAAGAAGATAGAAGCTCAATTGTTTACTTGTCTACTCCACTCCCACCAACCCATATTAACAACCCTTATACACCAAGCATCTTGAAAACAAATGCACAATCACCCACAAACCTTTCAATTAAAACAACTCAAAACACAACACGCTTCACTTGTCTTCTTCCCACCTCTAAAGTTAGCTTGCACTGGCTATCAAATCGACAAAAGAAACTCTCTCTCTATCTCTCTCATGTATAAATGTATATATTATCTTTCAACGTATAATTAATATTTCATTGAACCAAGTTTGATTGGACTACAGAGACAAAAATTTCTTCTCAAGTACTAGTTTGTTGAAATGGTTGAACGATGATTTAAGCTTCATTTAGCTATGACCTTGCCTATGCTATTCATGTTTCAGAATAACCTGATTTTTCTTTGTTTAGTCAAACTAGGTTGTGTGTGGAGAATTGGAGGGGTCAAAGTGATGAATAGAAGAGACAAATTGAAGGGAGACATAGATTTCAAAGGGGGGAAAATAAACGATGACGGTAGGTAATACAGTTAAAAATTGAACAAAATTATGAGTGTATTTTAGACTTTTCAAAAAAACTATCACATTTACTATGATTTGCAGTTTAGCCATTGCAGTGTTATCAAAATCGGACCAGACTGGCCGGTCAGATTGGTCAAACCATGAACTGGAGCCTAGACCAGTTCGATTCTTGAGTTGAACCGCATAAGCATGGGAACAGTTTTTGAACAGTTAAACCGGCCGATTTTTATGAAAACCAGTGAACTAACGGTTTGATGTGAACCGGCGGTTTAATTGAACAAATACTCAATTTGCTAAAACCTTGGAGAAAGAGGAGATGGTTTCTGGTGGAGCAGTGTTAGCATATGGAAGAGCTAGCGATTCTCTCTGTCATCCTCTTAAATCGTAACGTGCAAAGATCTACATAAAGGGAGACAGAATTGAAAAAAAATTCTCTTTTTTAGGGCAATTTTACCCTAATCTAATTCAATTCCAGTTGATCCTCCAGACAGTGGTCCTCCCCGGCAATAAGTCAGGCAAGTGGCGACGACTCCGGCAAACTCTCAGGCGATCTCCTATCTTGACTGGCGACGGCTCAGGCAATTCTCCACTTGAGTGGGACAACTCAAGCGAATGATTTATCCTTGCTTCTTGAACAAGAAGTCTCTCTCTCTCAAAACCAGACCGCCTCATCTCTTCTCTTTACTCTCTCTCACGTCTCCACAAACAACACAGCAGATGAGAGAGTATCTCATAGTTGTTGGGCTTTTGTCTCAAATAGTTTCTAGAGTTCCCTTTTTTTGCCTTATTTACTCTCTTGCCCTTTTATAATTTATTCCAAAGAATGTTTGATGGAAAATAGAATGAATAAATTAGAGTGAAAATATTTTAAATTTTTTTAAGGTAAATTATTTATGTTTTATAATTTTTTTTAATTTTTTATTATACTGCCGATTCAACCAGTTGATCCAACGGTTGAACCATTGACCGGATCTCTTTGTCGGTTTGATGTCCAATCCAGTTCTGATAACATTGGTCATGAGATCAAGTAGGTTTAGAATCACAAACAAAAGTTAAAAGTGATCAAATGTAACCGGTCAAAAGTTCAAAGGAACATGTTAGCCTCCCTATATTGTAGCCGTTAGTTGATTGTTGGGTATTTCTAGAATTTTGATTAGATTACCCCCACTCTCTCTCCCTAAATAACCCAATGCCCTTCTACAATTTCAATTATTTGATCATGTGTCACTCAAATTGAATTCGGGAAACAATGTTAAAAGGAAAAGCAAGAATGATAAAGAAATTATAATAGCCCTATAGGATCATAGCAAACCTTCATCTCCTCTCATTTATTACTCTCCCTCCCTCCTTTGTCTCTCATCTTTGGATTAGAAATGTTAGTGGCACATTTAGACTCTCTCTCTTTCTCTCTCTCTCTCGCTCTCCCTTTAGGGCCAACTTCCAATTTTCTCTCTTGTTTACAGGTTTCAAATACCATTCTCCTCAAGATTCTCTCTCTCTACAAAAGACAAAGCCATAGTCTCTCTACTAATTATTCAAATGGTTAATGGTAATCAAAGATGGTGTGATCCTATTTCTTACCGGATGTTGCCCTTGTCTCTGGTACTAGTACCCACACGAATGGTTAATGGTTATCAAAGATTGTACGGTCCTTGCAAGGCATGTATATACAGATGAGTGTACCTATATCTTTGAACTGCCTATTTTGTTTTATTGTTTTGGCTTTGATTTATGTTGAATTCATAATTTCTGATCAATTGATGTTATTGTAAGTTTTTTTATGTTGGGTGTTATATACATGTGTGAACCTGAGAAAGAAATTTGTGGATTTTCAATTATTGATCTTCTTTTCTAATATTTGGGATTTGAAATTTGGTATTCCTGATATGTGTTGAACTCGATCAAAAAAGCTCAACTTTGGCTCGAGCTCACGCCAAGCCGAGCTTAAACAAAAACCTAGGTACAGTATCCGACCTAGAGCCGAACTTGAACAACAATATAATAACTCAAGCCGAGGCTAAACATGCTCAAGCTTGGAAGGCTCGACTCAATTACCACCCTCACAGTCATGTGTCAGTGGACTTTGGCTTTTGTGAGCGGACCCACACTTATGAGTGCTCTTGAGCTACAAAGTTGAGGCTGCGCAACACGTGGTGTAGCTCTTGATGCCCACTTTTGTAGATATAGTCACTCATGCCAAACCCATAAGGTTTGATATTTGCAACATGTTATGACATCTCAGATAAGATATGGAATTCTATTCTAATGCGTGGAGGTAAGCAGTGCCTTCAACTCATCATAGGAAACCTAATGTCTACTGAACCTATTAGATTTATTTACATATTTGTAACGAGGGAAGTATTTATATGTTGTTCCTGATGCACTGCAGCACCTAGAAAAGAACGTCTAGTTGAAAACATATTAATCATATAAAAGATGTCAGTGACATGCCGATAACTAAGTGGCCAAACTATGTGCCTCATCTAACATGACAATTTACGTTGATCTTGTGATATATAGTTTCTAATCATTTGATTTCATGGTCACTAGATCATGACCACAGAACAAATTGGCTGTGGTTGTCCACCCCATTGGTTTGAATCAGCATTCAAGTGCACAGCTAGCAAACAGTAACTGTGATAGAGAAATAGTGATCACTACATGTGTTTTGGGTAAGTTAATACCGCACTTACTATAAGAACAATGTATATTGTAGAGCTACTTGATCTTTTTGGACACCAAACATAGAAAGTGTTCATATAATCATAATTGGCAACATTTTTTACTCAAAATTGTGTTCATCAACATCATACAAGAAAGTTTGCTATACATGGATGGCCTTCTTAAATTTGTTATTTAACATGACTTCCTGTTCTTTATAATACTTGCAATCCTTTGAAATCACCAACTAAAACCTATGCCTTCCATTAAATCTTAGAGTGGCTGCAAACAAGATTAAAATCTCCTAACTTCAACAACTAATTAACCTTCAAATAAAAAATAAACAAAAGTTTGTTGCAAATGTAAAACATAAAATTGGAGCTTAAACTCCAGTCATATCCTTCTTCATGACATCTAAACGATCTCAAAAGGTCATCATCACAAAACCATCTGGAGATGGGCATTGCCCAACCCTGAATAAGACTAGCATTAGAGCTTTTCGATACGAAATATTCTGTACAGACCATCGACTTTTTAAATACTAACAAAGCTTACTCTATTATTCCAAAAGGGAATCCATCAAAAGGCATCCACAGAATAAAGGCAGTGGACAAGTAGGATTTGTGCAAACAAGCTATTTCCTATACATGGAGGATACTTTATAACCTAGAAACAACTACAATAAACACTTACATTTTTTAGCAATTACTTTTGAAAAGTGGACATGCAATTATATCTAAAACATTCTATATAACTTCCATGAGGCTTTCATAACAGTGGGAATCAAGATAAATAATATCGATATCACTTACTCAGCAATTCCTTCATAGACTGATCCGAAAGACCCACGTCCCAGAAGCTCACCCTTCTCCCAATACGTGATAATGCGTCTAAACCTCCCATTTGGTGAAATATTTGACATAGGCTCCGTGGTACTACTCGAGGAATCATCATCATTTGAACTCGTGGTAAATGAACAAGACTCTGAAAGAACGCCATTCCCTCTTAACCTCACACAATTACCCTCCGCCTCCCTCTTACCACTCGTTTCATCACCTTCCTCCTCATCCTCATCAGAACAAAACCCTTCTCCAGGAATCTGTAAACCCGAACTTCCATCCCAATCCGGCGCAAATGACCTCAAAATATCCCAAGTCGAACACGCAGTATTGGTAACCGGCATAGAAATTGACGGCGGTGGAGCCAGAACCGGCGGCCGAACTCCCTTAATTCCTCCTCTTCCACCACCAACACAACTCGAGGGCTTAACCATAGTTTCACTTACGGTAATACTGTCTTGTAATTTATCAGACAACTCACGAATTTCTTCTTCTTCGTCACCAACACCAGCAGTACTACAACACTCGTAAGATTCGACAGAATCAATTCGCCTCTCAATTACGTCATTAACCCTAACCCTAGCATTATTTTCGGATTTACCAGATAATTCACTAGCTTCTTGTTCATCAACTTCTTTAGGGCTATCGAATCGGAGACCTCGAGATCTAGGAAGAACATCCGAAGAAGATCGAAATTTCATGGCCTCCCACGCAGCGGCCGGAATCGAGAAATCTTCAATTCCCGAGAGCCCCAAACTCTTAAGAATAATTTCAAATTCTCCTTCGTTCCCTTGCACTCTGAAGCTCTTCTTATCACCGAACGGCGATAAATCACCAAGTGATTGAGTTCGGAGAGCTGAAGAGTCATCTGAATATGAGGAAGTTGAAGGAAGCTCGTAGTCTATATCTTTCACCGCATTTAGACGCTGCAGTTTTGGCTTGAACTTCCCCAACTTTGAATCCATGCGGATTTTGTGCTTTTCACTGAAATATCCTGAAATTCGATGCATTGTAAGCTAAATCCATGTACGTCTCAGACAACAAAGTTGAGTGAATTCAGTAAGTAAGAGAGGTGAAATGGACGAGTCGAAATGGTTGAATGTATGTGTTTGTTGGGGCTTAGGGGTGGAGGGACAGGAAGAGAGAGAAGACTAGTAAACGCCGTCAAGGAGGAGAGAGAAAAGGGGCCAACACGGAATGCCGTGTTGGGTGACGACGACGGGGATGCAATTGGCAACTTGGGAATTAGGAATTTTGATTTTTTTGCATAAATTAGCGTATTTTCAACTTCACTTAAATTTAGGCATAAATTTAAGTTTGTGTTTAAATAATTTAAAAACATTCTCTAACTTTACATTCAAATCTATATCAAATCAATAAAAAATTTATTTTTAACCTAAATTAAAAGAGATTCAAATTATATACTAAATTTCTAACTGTAACATTTTATTTTATTTAAAGCCAAAAGATGTATTTGATGACTTATTATCTGCCTCTTCCTTCTTTTCTCTTTTACACTATTTTCATTGCTAACTACCACCGAAATATTCATACATCCTTTAAAAACCAATAGGTAAGCTTCTTTCTTTTTTTTTTGATCTTTCATTTTTTTGATTTCTTATATTTTTCAAAATTCTAATCTCATCCATATTTTATACTATATTAACTATAAACCTACTCATCAAATTTTTCTTTAATATTTTTGAATTAAATATTGTCGATAGTGCTATTGTAGGCCTTCGATTCTTCCTAAAATTTCAAACATTCATTACCCACAAATTTAAAAAAAGTTTGTCATTTTATTTTTTCAATTGTCTATTTTTGTTGAAAATGATCCATTTTTTGTGTTCTTCAAACCAAATTCATATCAAAATAAATATTTATTTTATTTAGACTTATAGAAGAAGATAATAGATTACAACAATTTAAGAATTTTGGGGTGATTTTCTTTTATTTTTTCTGTGTCTTTTTATTCTCAAATGGTGTTGTATCCATATCTAATTTTTTTTAATAACACATTTATGAAGACATATGAAAGTTTCATTTATTTTATCAGATTTCATGATTTGAATGATACAAAAAATGAGTATTGAAATAATAAATAAATTTTTAAAAGATTTGAATATATATTTGAATTTGTTCATTAAAGTACTTTATACTAAATCAAATTTTTTACTCAAATTTAAACTCAAAATTGAATATAAATTTGAGTCATAGTTGGAGATGTTCATACACTCTAGCTCTTAAGTTGTGTCAAAATAATATGAAGCAATGCAAAATTTCCAAAACCAGATCAAAGATTGCAACAAGCCGAATAAGGTGCAAATTGCATGGGCTAACCCAACCCAACTCGAACTCAGCCCAAAAAAATAGTGTTTGGGTTGGACTTAGACCAAAACTTTCCAATTTCAATTAAATTTAAGTGGTACTCAAGTTGAACCCTTTGGCTTCACGGGATCAACTCGAATTCAACCTACAATATTACAATATGTTTAATATTTGTTTAAGCATTAAAATAAGATTTATATAAAGGACCACATAATAAAATAATGAATTTTATACACACTCATAACAAAGCTTTTATAGCACTAGAGGGAGTGTAATCTCCCTTGTTGAACTAATATGGGATGTTGAATGAAAAATAAAAGAAGATATCTAAGTTAAAACCCCACATTGTTTGGAAACAAAAAAGGTATTTCTCTTATCATGTATATAAAGAAGGCAAACTCAAAGAAGGTTGTGTCTTTAATGGGCTTGGTTTTTTGTTGAGCTTTATGTGACTTAATAAAAAAGTTAAAGGTGTTAATATTTAGAAACTCCGATCTAACCCAAAAATTGAACCCAATCTAATAATTCAGGTTTAAACTCAAGCTAAGTGGGTTGTACTCAGGTTGAGGTCGGATTTGAGTTAAGCTTGAGTTGAGTGTTTTACAACTTTGATTGGGTTTGGGTTGGTCTTTTAATGCATCCAAGTCGTCATACCCCCCTAGTTCAGCCAAACCACTTCCTCTCCTCCTTAGGCTCGCCCATCTTCTGTCTCTAATGTTGTCACTCTCATGATCTTCCCTAGGTCTAACAACTCGCCATTCTCCACCACCCTTCTCACTAGAGTGAAAATCCACAAACACACGCATGTAGCTTTCGTTGATTTGAGTTGAATTTAATAGGTTTAGTTTTGTGTTCGAGTGATGTGTGAGAGGAATGGGGTAAGAATAAAAAAAGTGTTTGGAAAATGGGGCTGAAACACTCCAATTAATACTTATGTTTGGACATAGATTAATTTTATTCCAACAAAAATAAGGAAGTTGTGTTAAAATCTAGGTGTTGTTTTCACTAAAATAATCTTTTTTTCGGAAAAGAGAAGGTTCATCCATTGCGATTTTTCAAAGTAAGGCATCAACATATTAGTTTATAAATATCAAGGGTTTCTATGTTGTTTGGTCAAAAAGTAAAAGATCATAGTATAATTTTTATTTTTTATTTCCATAAGAATTTAAGGAAAATATTATTAGAGAATAATAAACTATAATAATGTGTCTAATAATATAGTCCGTCACATCTACACTCTCAATAAAGGCAAATGAGGAGTTCAGTGTTATAGCTATTAGTAGTTAAGTAATACGTTTATTACTAATATCCTATATATATATATTTTTTTTTATTTTACCTTCTATAACTTCTTCTCTATCAAATTTAAGTACCCAGAACTTTATCATTGTGCAATAATTTAAACACACTACCTCAGCTGACTTCATCTGACACATACCATTAGGCGCATTTTTTTTTTGGAAGTTATCATTATGCGCATTTATTATGTCCCAATAGTGTTATTCTAATTTTAATTTGTCTTTATTTTCCTATCTCGTGTTTCCCCTCCTTGCTCTACACGGCCAACACCTAGCATTCATAATTTTCTAAACCTATTATTTCTATGTTACCAAATTTTTTATACTTAGACAGCCTTTAATAATTAATATTGTAAATATTATAACTACAAATGGTTTACTACTCAAAAAATAAATAAATCCCTTGTAGAATGGATAAATAAAATTTAGGACAAAATTTTCATATTAAAAATATGTAGTATTAAGTGGATATATTACTAGGACACATATATTATATACAAAAATGATCGGAAGTGTTGGATTATTAACCATGAAGAAATACTTTGAAAATATAAATACTTTGAAAATATAAAGGGTTCAATTTTTTTTAATCTTAATTTATACCCTCAATGATATAAATTTTTATCAATGCGCACCTTAAGCTAACAACCATCAGTTTGCTATCTTAAATTAAATGAATAAATTATACCTAGATCTCTTCATGCTTGTCACTTAATCACCTAGACTCCCCACATTTAAAATATTACACTACATGCTTTTAGAATTCAAATATGACTAAAAAGGTTCTCCTAATTGGGTATCCAAATAATTCTATTTAAGTGATGTAGTGCATTGGATATATAGAATATTATATAAAAACATGTATTATATTGGACATTCAAATAATAAGCTTAATTTTTAACTTTAGAATATAATGGGCACACAAAATAAAGGGTAATATGAAAATTATAATTTTTTATTATGATGAAATCATTTTTTTAACGGTTATATTAACAGATATCAACGACAAGGAGTTATGTGTTACACGTGCATAAACGTTAAGAGATGTAGGAGTAATATTCTAATTATGAGGGAGTCAATATGATTAAGTGACAAGCATGAGAGGATCTAGGTATAATTTATTCATTTCGTTTTATACGGCAAATTGACAGTTATTAGTTTCAAGTGCGCATTGATACAAATTTCTATTTTTTAAAAGTGTAAATTGAGATTTTTATTTTTGAGGGTACAAATTGATATTCAAACGATCTTTCAAGGTATAATTTATGATTAGCCCAAATATAAATAATACCAACTTTTTGAACTAAAAAAAATCAATTGGGAATCTTAATATATGGGAGTCTTACTTAGTGCGAATATATAGATCTCAAGGGATTACTAATTAATAGAACTTGGGTATAGCTGTTAATCTATAATGTTCTTTGTAAAAATCTAACAAAATTTGGAAAATGATAATTAGTCTAAGAGTTGCTAGTGGTAGAAAACTAAGTCCACATACAAAAGCTCAAGCTAAAAACTTGTATTTCAAGAATAAATGTCATTTAAAATTTTTTGCTTGCACAAATTACTCAATTCAACTCAATGAAGCATTGCAATTATTTATATTTTACAATTGGCTTTTTAATGCTGCATTTTTTCATTATGTTATTCATTTTCTACTAAACCCTGTGTTGTTGTATTATTATTTACTATCTTGATCAAATTTTTTTTTATTCTACGTCGATCAGCCTATGTCACAACTATTAATTGTATCACATCATTCTTATTCATTGACATCACATCATTCTTAAAAACACAATTCTAAGTCTTTTGCTAATTTTCTCTTAATTTATCTATTATTAAGTATATGTCTATTATACAATGAATATATTTGTAATTCTATCATTTATTATTTTTTGGAAGGTTTTTTTTACAAGGTATTCAAACTTGTGTCGATTACTTTTTTGCGCTCTGAGACCGGTCACCATAGTTCAAGCTAGTTTAAATATATGTTCCCTTAGGAATAAGGATGATTGACCCTTAGGAGCTATGAAAAGTATCAAACCTAATTTTGACCATGTTTTAGCTTAATGTCTGCATTTTGGTCACAACTAAGCTTTAAAACATATATTTTGCATCATAAAAACGACAAGTTTTATGGTTTTTTTTTTTTTTTTGGGTAGGGGGAAAGGGGTTTGAACCTTTGATCTCAAGAAGACAAAATCTTCATAAGGTAAGGAGTACTATTAGGCCAAATACCCGTTGGTATAATTTGGTAAACCCGTCCTTTAAGCTTAAGAGGTATAAGTTGATCACCTAGTACCCTAGTTGTACTCCTCCACTTAATCTGCTTCGTTTGAATTGTATGAGTAACTTGATCTCTGACCTCCCCCTGGTCTCTTTAC